TATTGTTATTATTATTATTGTTATTATTATTATTATGATTATTATTAAACTTAGTGAGAGGTGTTAAACTCGTAGAGGTGATTCTGAGAGGTAATAATTTGGGTCAGACAACGCCTGGAACACTCGGGGAAATTACTTTCAATTTGTAGGCAATATAGATGTTTTTTATGACTTGCGAAATCATAATGACACTATTGCAAACAAACCATACCACGGGTGGGGTTAGAACCCACGATTAGAGAGCCATAAAACTCCAGACCGACGCGTTAGCCACTGGGCCAGCTGGCTACAATAAACACTGGGTCAGCTGGCTACAATAAGATTCATCCAACTTGGTATATTTATACACCATAGGTTAGGTTAGCATAGGCACGACGCTAACGCGTCGGTCTAGAACTTTATGACTCTCTGATCGTGCGTTCTAACCCCACCCGTGGTATAGTTAGCTATTTTTTAGTAAGGCAAAATTAAGTAAATTCTTACCTCAGGAAAATCAAGCCACATACAAACCCTGATCTGAAACTCTTCCTGGATAGCTGCAGCAGAACTCGCGGGGATATTAAAAGACTCATATATAATTCCCGTGTTTAACTCAACCTGAGTAATAACGCAATACTCAACAAAGGTCCTTGAAGCTGGAAGACTCTCACTGATGATTCCAAAGGTTCCCTGTCTGCCAACCGCGTCAAAATTGCTGTTAGAAAGCACCTCTTTAATTAACTGTGATTCCTGACAGTAATTTACTGTGGCAAACAAATCTTGACACCTGTCTGTCAGATCTCGAAGGGGAACCTTTAAGAGGCCTTCTGAGTTCTTTTACTTCTTGCAAACTTTCGATAATATTTCGCTCATAGCTCGAGAATGCCTCATTCCATCAGTTTCAAATTTTTAACACTTGTGTACGGTAGTGAGGACCACATTCTTGGAACAATTGGCATGTTCACGTACCCTACGACCAAAGTTGTTGACCCTGTTCCCAGTATCCTGGAATGGCTCAGATGACTTCCAGAACCCTTAATGGCGGAGCTTCATGTTCAGAGATGACAAAAATTTGACGACGGTGGAGATTGACATTTAAATCGGTAGAAGCAGATATGACCATTTTGTGAGTAAAATAGTGTAAGTTTTATTTCTGTTAAATCACGTTAAATAACAATAATCTTAGGATAGTGTCTAAGATAGTACCTAGAATATTAGCCAGGATAGTACCTAGGATAGCACCCAGGATAGTACCTAGGATATTAGCCAGGATAGTACCTAGAATATTAGCCAGGATAGTACCTAGGATATTAGCCAGGATAGTACCTAGAATATTAGCCAGGATAGTACCTAGGATATTAGCCAGGATAGTACCTAGAATATTAGCCAGGATAGTACCTAGGATATTAGCCAGGATAGTACCTAGAATATTAGCCAGGATAGTACCTAGGATATTAACCAGGATAGTACCTAGAATATTAGCCAGGATAGTACCTAGGATAGCACCCAGGATAGTACCTAGAATATTAGCCAGGATAGTACCTAGAATATTAGCCAGGATAGTACCTAGAATATTAGCCAGGATAGTACCTAGAATATTAGCCAGGATAGTACCTAGGATATTAGCCAGGATAGTACCTAGGATATTAGCCAGGATAGTACCTAGAATATTAGCCAGGATAGTACCTAGGATATTAGCCAGGATAGTACCTAGAATATTAGCCAGGATAGTACCTAGGATAGCACCCAGGATAGTACCTAGAATATTAGCCAGGATAGTACCTAGAATATTAGCCAGGATAGTACCTAGAATATTAGCCAGGATAGTACCTAGAATATTAGCCAGGATAGTACCTAGAATATTAGCCAGGATAGTACCTAGAATATTAGCCAGGATAGTACCTAGGATAGCACCCAGGATAGTACCAATGATGGCACCCAGGATAGTACCAATGATGGCACCCAGGATAGTTCCAATGATGGCACCCAGGATAGTACCAATGATAGTACCTAGGATAGTAGCAATGATAGTTCCCAGGATAGTACCAATGATAGTACCCAGGATAGTACCAATGATAGTATCCAGGATAGTAGCAATGATAGTATCCAGGATAGTAGCAATGATAGTATCCAGGATAGTACCAATGATAGTACCCAGGATAGTACCAATGATAGTATCCAGGATAGTAGCAATGATAGTATCCAGGATAGTAGCAATGATAGTACCCAGGATAGTACCAATGATAGTATCCAGGATAGTACCAATGATAGTACCCAGGATAGTAGCAATGATAGTACCCAGGATAGTACCAATGATAGTACCCAGGATAGTACCAATGATAGTACCCAGGTTAATACCAATGATTGTACCCAGGACAGTACCAATGATAGTACCCAGGATAGTACCAATCATAGTACCCAGGATAATAAATAGTATAGTACCCAGGATAGTACCAATGATAGGACCATGTATAGTACCCAGGATAGTACCTAGTATAGTACTCAGGACAATACCCAGGATAGTACCCAGGATAATACCTAGTATAGTATCTAGTATAGTACCCAGGATAGTACCTAGTATAGTACCCAGGAGAGTACCCAGGATAGTACCTAATATAGTACCCGAGATAGTACCAATGATAGTACTTAGTATAGTACCCAGGATAGTACCTAGTATAGCACCCGGGGTAGTACCAATGATAGTACTTAGTATAGTACCCAGGATAGTACCTAGTATAGTACCCAGGAGAGTACCCAGGATAGTACCTAATATAGTACCCGGGATAGTACCAATGATAGTACTTAGTATAGTACCCAGGATAGTACCTAGTATAGTACCCAGGAGAGTACCCAGGATAGTACCTAATATAGTACCCGGTATAGTACCAATGATAGTACTTAGTATAGTACCCAGGATAGTACCTAGTATAGCACCCGGGGTAGTACCAATGATAGTACTTAGTATAGTACCCAGGATAGTACCTAGTATAGTACTCAGGATAATATCCAGGAAAGCACCCAGGATAATACCTAGTGTAGCATCTAGTATAGTACCCAGGATAGTACCCAGGATAGTACCCAGGATAGTACCCAGGAGAGCATAGACGAAGTTTTATTTAGATGTAGTAAAAAATGGAATTAATGGATTCTAGAGAATAACTCATCTGATCGGCTTGAAACTTTCACTATTTATTTCGTAAAAATAACTATCACATCGACAGTGGGTGCCATAATTTATCATTTTTTTTTTCAATAACCGATGATTTTAAAAATACTATAACACAAATTTGAAATGTTATTGAAAGAACTGTTTCAGAAGCCTGGAATCATTGAAATAAGTTCAGTTACTTTAGAATTCCTTTTCTGATTTCATTTACCTTAGAATGCCTTTTCTCATCGGGTTCAGTCTTTTGCCATTAGTGAGCTTAATTAAAACATTGCTTGTCACTTTGAGCTGTGTAAATTTATATTTGCCAATTCATTAAGCAAATTGTTCTTATGTAATGACTGGGGAATGCGTCTTCTGATCGGCTTCAAACCCTAAATATTGGTGAATCTTAATAGGAAGTACTTTTATTAATTTTGAACTGTATGGGTGCCACGTTGCCAAGTTTTTTCAAACTTTATTAAAGAAAATAAAGCCAAACATTCTTTCTTGTAGGACTGTACAAAATCTTAAATTGAATGGAATTGAGAAAAGCAAACTGAAGAAAAAGTCAAAGGTTTCAGGCTGTGGTATTCTAAGAATATGTTACATTTTCTTCGGCCTATGTTACACACCCATATAGGCATCCTAACCGACCAGCGAACCAGGTGCTAAGGGTTTAACGAGCAGGGGGCCCATCATTATACCAGTACGTTGGTTCATCCTGACAATCACAAGGAAACTGTGAAGCAATGTGGTACACTTGTGAAGCAGTTTTTAGCAGACCTACCTTCCCTGCTGGTCACTACGGTTCTTACCGTGTCTTGTGCTTGCATTCGCCTCAGTGTACATAGTTGCAAATACAGTATTTAGGCTATATACATACTATAAATAGCAGCTTGTTTCTCGTCAGTTATTATTATAATAATGGGGAAAGACTAAACCCGTAGGCTTATACAGCGCCTGTGGGGTGGGGAGGGGAATGGAAGGTATTCAGGCTTAATTCAGGGAACTGGAGCACAGTTCCAATTCCCTAGATCAAAAACCCCTCACCAGCATCAAGGGACTTCCCTTGAGGTGTGCTTTTCGTAAAGTGAATGCAATAATTTACTCTCTCTGCTGCCTTTTTACTCATTTCCCCGTGGTTATTGTTACAGCGAGGTGTGCAGGTCAAAAACTCTACACCTGTGCTCCTAATATGGGATGCCTGTCCTGAAGTTTCTCTCTGCATTGTCTCTACGAGGATGCCTTAAGTCCTAAGTTGCAACCTGCAAGTTCTTGTGTGCTATTATTTCGTGCTATATTGAGCGTATTGCAGTCAGAATTTTGTTATAGTGGGTTATGCCACCGACACATGTAGGTGATTGGTGACTGAATATACCCTGCTAAACTTGCCCAAACTATCTCTACAATGAGGAAATGGTATGGTGATACCGACAAGATGTGGAAAAAGACACTTATGTACAGTTCAGGACATTTATTAAAGGAAACGTTTCGCCACGAGTGGCTTCTTCAGTCCTAATACAGAGAAAACTAAGAAAACACATATTTATATATAGTGGCAGGAGTCAGGTGAGGTGACTCCTGCCACTATATATAAATATGTGTTTTCTTAGTTTTCTCTGTATTAGGACTGAAGAAGCCACTCGTGGCGAAACGTTTCCTTTAATAAATGTCCTGAACTGTACATAAGTGTCTTTTTCCATATCTCTACAACGCTGCTGGCGAACTGCTCGTTCTATTGGTATAGAGTATCAACGAACTCTTACTGCTGCACAGTTGCGTGAGTGTATATATAACAAATTAAAGTTTGACTCAATAACATGGTGCTTTTAACTGAGGTTCTGCTGCTACAGGAGCTATTAATCGCCGATACCCGCTTCGGTTCCTTCGTAATTCAGGAGAGCAAACCCCTGAGCACACGAACCAACAGCCGGGAAAACAGGTGGTGAATCAGGGTTGTCTCGGGAGGAGTCAGCTTTGTTAGTGCTTGAGTTGGCTAAACTCATTCTTGAGAATAACAGGGAGCAACGTGCCTTAGCTTAGGAGGAATTTGGTAGAGAGAAGGAGAGGAGACATTTTCTGCGTTCCATAGTTGACAATTTCAGTGTTCAGAAATCGGTGTCGCTAGTACCTCGGTTTTCTGATTCTTAACCTAAGTAATTTTTCGAGTCTTTCGAAAACAAGGCTCGTATTTTGCGATGACCATCCGAGCACTGGGCTCTTTAATTCAGGATTATAAGCCAAAGTGCGGAAATTTACGGCTAGCTGGTCTGAGTGACGGAGATTTTGCTATTTACTACATTGTGAAAGCAGCTGTATTTCGGTGCATGTCAGTGCATTCCTGACAAATAAAAGCGAGAAGTTAAACTGAGCGAGCGTCAGTTGGGTCAGTCCCATGTAGACTTTGTTCGTACACAATCTAAATCATTCACAAATGGTATAAAGTCAGTGGTGAAATTAACTTCAGTGGGCTAGTGCAATGGTAAGCATTGATAATCTTCTTGAGTCAGCTAGACCAGAGGTTCGGGTGTTATAAGAAGACTAATCAGTGGTAACTGCATTGGAGGCAGCTAGGTATGCTTACACACTTGTGGCCAACCGGTTCTTGTCCGAACGGTCCTTTAACTTTTCTTCAGAGCAGCCTGGTATGGATAGAGACTGTCATGGGGTGACCTCTGGGTGGATTACGAGGAAGGCGGCTGGAGATGAACAATGACGTCTATCTCAAAGCCAGCATGCAGCAAGAGACAAGAATCCTAAACCTGTAAACTACTGCCGTAAGCCAGGTCACATAAAGGCTACTTGTCCCAAGATATGTAAACCTGAAAGTGGTAAATTAACTAGACCGCTAACTTCAGAAAATATTGCTATGCTTCCCGCTGAAACGAATCAGCAAGAAATGGATTTCTGTGTGGCACCCTTTTATAATCAAAGTTTAATTTTCCTGAAGGAACACGAAAAGTTCCACTGAGGTATCCATCTTCAGGGATACCGGGGCTTATTGCTCCTTCTTACAAGAGGGAATAGTACTTCCAATTTCTGAGGAGACCATGTTAACACCTCAGTATTATTACAAGACTATCAGGGAGCGGTGATTTCTGCTCCTATAGATAAATCTTTTATACATAGACAGTAATTACACTGGATATTTAACCATAGGTATGTCTGCGGGATTCCCAATGAAAAATGCTGCATTATTGTTTGGCAATAATAATCTATATTCTAGATGTTGTCGTGAGCTCATTGTAACCACCGAAGCTTCTTCTCCGATGTTGGCCATAACTCCGGCAATGTCCAAAGGAACGTGTAAAAAGAATGCTGACCTATCCTTGGCGGACTGCTATCCAGGGCTCGACAATTTATTTTATTGTATTATCCTAGGATAATCTTCATGATGTCTTCAAGACTCGAGAAACATTTGGATAATTTTTTGCCTCTTTAGGTCTGAGTTTGTTTTTTTTCCATGGAATAAACTGAGGAAATTGAAATACTGGTTTTCAAAAGATAATTTCTGAGTGATGATAAATTTATAATACGTATTTTTAGCGGCTGCGGATTTAATGTTCTGGCTTATTTTAGGATTTTTTTTTCAGGGAACTAGTATACTTCTAAAGATTTGCTCCGTATCTAGTCTTCTTTAATTTTGTGCTATGTATCCCCTAATTTACTATTTTTTTTTGCTTGTAAATGGTATATTAGTGTCCTCGTGATTCTTGCAAATATTTTGTTTATGACTCGCCTCATATCTTCGCTGCTAATATTAAACTGCATTAGAATCTTGTGCCACACTCTACACTATTCCTTTTACACGCAGTGACGTGCAATGATACAATGCGGGGATAACTTGGACATTTCAGCGTTTTTTTCCATATTCCTTTCTCTATTAGCCTATAGGCGCCCACTTATTAATTAATATTAATGAGGCTGTTATATGGAACCTTAGTAATTTTTCACCCCCCTTCCCCTCTGCCTATTTTCATCAGCCAATAATAATGACGAGACAGAAGCCTATCAGGAGGAAAATAACATGTCGTGATTACGCAGGATCTTCACGTTAATAACACTGAAATATGACTAGAGTTACTTAGGACGTAAATAGTAGAGTTGTTCATTGTTGTATGTGATTTGAAAACACTAGTTAAAATAGCTTCTTATTACTAATTACGAAAAAACTTTTGGAATATTCAGTTCACTAGGCGATCTCCCTTTAATAACTGGTCACATAGGAATGTCCGATCCTATTAAGCGGTAGTAATGTGAGGAATTCCCTTTATTAGTTAATACTAAGATATGGGAGATTAATAAAGCACAGGTGGATAAAATAACTTCAGTAAAGTCATAGACGACAAGTATCCCCGATTGGCTACGTTGATTTTCTTGATTATATCTTTTGTTTATATCTTCAAAACGCGTAGTCCAATCGGCTTTATCTTTTCATCTCTAATTTACTGTGTCGGGGGAAGGGTTAGTGGAACTGTTGGTGTCTGCAAGTGCACTCTGAATTAATGGAGTCGATGCGGTAACTCGAGAATGCCTCTTTGTATCGGAATCAAAATTTTAACTCCGAGTTTTCTGATTGAAAAGGTCGCATCATTTTAGGGATACATACTGGATGGCTAAATTTGATAGTTTATTAAATAAATGGCGATATTGAATTATATTCAATAATTAAAAATAAATGGCTCATTTGATTACCTTCAAAATACTGATGTTAATTTTACAAGAAGGATGATAACCAATATATATTAACTGTTCGGGTGAAAATTTGAATTTTTACGGATTTTGTTAAAAATCTTGAAATTGTATTCACAGTAATTATTGAAGAATGCCTTTTCTGATAGGCTTCAAACTTTGTGCTGTGGGCTTTAGTAAAAGTAAGCTTGATATTCACTTTGACATGTACAGATTTTAATTTGCCGATTTAATTTGGTTTCTATGTCATACCTACAGAATATTTCTTCCGGTGGGCTTGAAACCCTAAACGATGATATATCTTCAATGGAAGTATTTTTTTTACCGAATTTGATTCGTTGTTGTTGCCTAGTTTGTCATGTATTTAAAATTTTTTATCAACATTATACTTTGCGAGAAAAAAAAATAATTTATACTTTTTTTGGAGGGTTGTAGAGAATTTTAAATTGAATAGAATTTCGAAAAGGAAAGTGAAAAATATTAATAACTCCCGCTTTTATGGAGTATTAAATATCAAGAGTTGAGAGAACACTTGTATCCTACATTCCCGTACGATTTTCTACAGAAGACGGTCTTCCAATAGTGTCCCTGAATTTGTATTGATAAAGCCACTGGAGGGCGAAACGTCTACAATAAGGATACCCAGATGTTGCATATGTATACCATTTATGTACAAGAGAAGGTCATGTAAGGAACAGGTTTCAGTCTTCCACCTACTTCCTCCAAGTTTTCATAGCTTCAGAATGCCTTATCCGATAGGCTTCAAATTTTAAACCCTGTAAGGGGATAACTAAGTGACTGTTCAGTCGACACTAAGCATGTGCAGGCGCCCACTGCTACATTTTACATAGATCATTCCTGATTTTGATTTCAATGCTACGATGCCAAAAAGCCTCTTCTGACCAGTTGTAATATTTTAAGACAGGTGTGTCCGACCTCTAACAAGGTTAGTTGTCTTAGTGGAAAGTTTCAAGTATACAGTTTTCATTTGACCATATTTTCATTTTCGGAAAAATTTTGCAATATCCTTGTAATTTTGTAATCGGATAAATAATTGTGTATGAATTTTCCTTTAATTGTGTACATAACCAGTCGTATATGCACCTAATAACAATGTATTTTAAATTTCTGTGCCATATTATGTAATAATATATATATATATATATATATATATATATATATATATATATATATATATATATATATATATATATATATATATATATGTCGTGCCGAATATGTAAAACTGGTCAATTAGCAAGAACTCATTTAAAATTAAGTCCTTTCTAAAATTTTCTCTTATACGTTTAAAGATATATTTTTTTCATTAATGTTAATGTAAAAATTTTTAATTTTGCAACAAAAGAATCTTAGAAAACTTACCTAACCTTATTATAACAAGAGCAATTTATTTTAGCCTAACCCAACTAAATACATTTTAAATAAGTTTACAATAATTTAATACTAAACAAACACAATGAAATATATTTTTTTCGTTAGGTTCAGAATGATTTTGGCGAAATTATTGCATACACAAATTTTCACTTGTCCTATATGGCAAGATGAACGTTGCTATTTAAGCCAAGATCGCAAGTTCTGCCTATTCGGCACGACATATATATATATATATATATATATATATATATATATATATATATATATATATATATATATATAATATATATATATATATATATAATATATATATATATATATTGTATATATGCTGACACGGCTGAAGCACTTAGACTAGAGGAAATCACCCTTCCAGGGAAACCAGTGGCACCAAAAGTTTCAACAGCTCTGTCCCCACTGTGGAACCATTGATTGTGGAAGACTTGGACATTTACAAAGCAATAATGTCGTTCCCATCTGGCTCTGCTGGGGGTTACACTGGAATAAGGCCACAGCATTTAAAGAAAATTGTTAATCCAGTTATTGGGAAAATTGCAGAGACACAGCTTTCAGAGATCACAAGGTTCGTCAACAATTCCTTGGCTGGTCCGAGTTAGAGGTATTGGGAAGATGGAGGGAATATTTTGAGGAATTGTTAAATGTTGATGAAGATAGGGAAGCTGTGATTTCATGTATAGGGCAAGGAGGAATAACATCTTGTAGGAGTGAGGAAGAGCCAGTTGTGAGTGTGGGGGAAGTTCGTGAGGCAGTAGGTAAAATGAAAGGGGATAAGGCAGCTGGGATTGATGGGATAAAGATAGAAATGTTAAAAGCAGGTGGGGATATAGTTTTGGAGTGGTTGGTGCTATTATTAAATAAATGTATGGAAGAGGGTAAGGTACCTAGGGATTGGCAGAGA